CCTAACTAGGAATTCGAGAGGAACATGTCCTCTTCGTTCTGCTCATTTAGTGCGTCCTCCAACCCTGTCAGGCTCAGAAAGGTCCCTGCAGGCGCTAGCGTCCCAAAACCTCTTCGACCCCTCCCAGGACATACTTTCACAATTCAGATGTCAGGGTCTCTTCCACAATGTACAAGATGCACATTTCTTCTGTGAACGTGGCACAGTGATGATTATCGTCGCATTATCGAGTGGTCGCTGCGTGAGACACCTTTACTACGTACATGCACACAGTAGGTCGGTGGAACCAAACATCCCCACGGTCACACTTCGATCTGTATAGTCGGAAGCGCACTGTTTCTTGATCGATTTGTTGTTCTTCCTCAAAATTTAAATCATGTCTGAGTCAGACATTAAACATACGGGGATGGATAAAAGTCAATGGCCCATAGGAGATATTACTTTGCCATCCGTACCTATACTCGACACGGACATTCGGAGTTCTGAAGATATTTTGTCGGTTGTTGGTAGGAGATCCATACACTAACAGCATTGTGTAGACCCCTGGTGAAAGGTCTACCTAATTGTTTACACCGAAACTATCGCCTTGCACCTGAACCCAAGGGTAGTGCGTCTCTTCCACACGTCTCCATATAAACTCAAACGTCATGCTGAAGGTTGAGAACAGCGAGTGTTCGTTTGAACTAGTAAGTACCAAGTACTTATTCTACCCCTTTTGAAAACCCTTGAGCTATCTATACAAGGCCACCCGGGCCCGTCGACATCCAGGTTCCTTAGCCGTGCTCGTCCTCTACACCTATTACTCTCAACAGCGACTGTACAGGAGACGAACAGTGTAGCCAAATCTATAACCGTCTCCAACCCTCCCAAGAACATATCCGGGAGATGCTGAAGGAGCGGTGGTAGTTAATAGGTTCCGTGGGCGCCGGGAAAGATATGTGGTGGGCGGGACACGTGCTTAACATCTGCCATAGAGTACGAAATAAACAGACCTCTAAATGCTTGCACCATAAATACTAACCGCAACCCCGAAAAAGACGAATTCAACGATATCCTAAGGAGGCTTCTGGGAACATAGCTATTAACACTTTTATACGCGACTATACCTACTAGCGTTTCGCCGAAGCCTGCTAAGCCTACTACTGTGGCCACTTGTTTACCACTGAGATGTTAATTCTTTCTCCCACCCGGCGATCATCTTCCCTATATCAGTAAAAATTCTCCGAGCCCCTTTAAAATCACTTATGGCCCGGTCTTTCTCGGCCCGCGCTGTCTTGACTTGGGTCTCCAGTCCGCTCTTCTCGGCCTGTGTTGTCTCGACTGGAGTCCCCCGTCGATCTTGAAGCATTCACCGTAGCCTGTAGATTCGGCGGTATTGCTTTCAAGACCTTTCCCCACGACTCACGATGTTGTTCGAGGTTCGCCTCTGCCTCATCTGCCCTTTGCACTGCCTCGGCTTTCTCCGTCCTCAAATTTTCAGTGCCCTTTTGCAACTCTTGGATCTTAGTCTCTGCAGCCTGTAATTCCGCGTTCGCCGTCTGGGCCGTATCCTCTAACTCATCAATCTTGGTTTGTAGTCTGGCCTGCCTTTGTTTCCACTCCGTCTCCCGTCGTTGCCACTTTTGGTTGAACGCCTGGGCCGTATCCCTCTGTAAACATATCCCGTCGATCTTCGCGTTTGCTGTTTGCAACATCTCCTGCGTCCTCCGCAACTCTTCTGCCATAATGCCCTTCGCCGTCTCTGTTGATTTACCTCTCGACTGCAGTTGATTGGCTATATTAGAGAATTGGGCCCACAAGTCGTCGATTGAGATGTCTGTAATTTGAGTTGAGTTTTCAAAATTGATATAGGAAAATATGTCATCGCTAAGATTAGCCTGAGCAGTGTTGTCGAAGTCTACAACATTCGGCAGATACCCTTGTGTCCAGGAGTATTGTCCATTGCCATGCACCGCGAGATGAGACACAGGTGCAGAGCTTCCCTGGGTGCGAAGACCACCACTAGGAGTCTGAGGGGTTGCTTCAGCACACGGAGTCGTACTAGGGTGCAAAGTCCTGCTGTCGTTGAGACTGGGCGGGGCCATTGTCGGTGGTGGCTCCGTGGCATTGTACGGTGGTGTTGGTAGACTAGATGGCTGTCTCACCGTTGCTGGCTGGCCGCTAGACAGTGAATTTGGTATCGCCTCTTGAGAGCCGAAATGCCGATTCATGTTCTGGCCAGGATCGGGTCCTTCGGGCAATGTCGCGTCCAGGTCAGTCGGAATATGGTTTTGACCCAGTTGGACATTCTGGCCAAAACCAGTTGCACAAGGCGGTGATTCTGCCTGAGGTATGGATAAGCCTTCACCAAGACCAAGTCAAACTTGACCCACCTGTGAACACGGTACCAAAGGACATGTCTGAGAGTCTTGGTGATTGTTTTGGGCCGAAGAAGCTGAAGGAGACGACGTCGCCACCTGGTATATATGTGAGCTTCCCAACTTCCACTAAGCGCGGTTAGATGAACACTGGGGCGCACCGGTAATCCCTCTTCTGAACCGTCCCTTCTCCGCTTCTTTGGGCGGCCCGTCTCCATAGCACCAGGTGTGCGTTCCCGGCCTAATGTCGCGCCCTCGTCCGCCCTCTCATCCTCATATTCCCCCCCCTCGTCCTCGCTGGTGTTTATTGTTCGTTTGCGGGCATGCGCCGTTTGAGGCAGATAGATGCAATCGTGGCGTCGCTTAGTGCATCTATCGCATGAAGGCCGGGTGCCACTACATCTGACCTTTTTCGCTTTACAATGCTGACAAGCCGTAAAAACCCGGGTCGGTGTAGGGATCTCTCGTGAGACCCGAGGCATGGTGCAGGAGATGGCCCATGTAGAATCGATGCAAAGTGAAGAACAGGGTATTTCATCATGTTTTTTCAAGATGAGGATAAAGGCTCGTCCTTATGTTTGTGACAGATAGCGACGAACACATGGGGCTGGTTGAGTCGGGAGGCACTCTGAGGTGCATCCCCCCGGGGCCAACCCCCGCGTCGTACTCGAACCCTTCAACTAGATGCGCCATGAACGCCACCAACGTGCATTCTCGGTTAGGGGATGTCCGGTTCCGCTGAAACCATCTCTATCACTCAACACCCTACAGTAGAAATATAGCCTCTCCGCAGGCGAATAGGCAAGGCAGCAGACGTTGAGGATCGCTCCACCCCCGTCATGTACTAGACCAAGGAGGGTCGCTCGAGGCTCCAAGGTGGTCGAAATCCATTGCTCCCCATCCGTTTCGCTTCATGTTCACATGTCCGCTCACGTCTTCATTCGTCGCCGCCAACCGCCACACGGCGGCACGGTCCACCCCCCTAAGAGCCGCAGACAGGGGTGCTGCAGCCCGTTAGTGTCTTGTGCCCAGGTTAGATCTCGTATCTCCATTAGCAGACAGGGTAAGCCAAAGGGGGGGTTTTTTGAGATGGAGTTTTGTCGGCGTATAATACTGTAACCAATTATGTGATGCGGCTCAGGTGGTTTCCACTTAACTTATCCTGATCACCCTCTTAGAAACCATGCAGAGCCCATCAACGAGGAACGTGAACCCAGGGTTAAATTCCTTGCTCCACCAACCAGTAAATTATGGGCTGCAGACTAGTCTACAAAGGGGCTCCCGCGACCTTCTCCCGCGACCTTTTCCCACGACCTTTTCCCGCGACCTT